TCTACATTGTAGGCAGTATTTGTTAATGATCCAAAACTTTCTGATGTGAAGCAGTTATTAGCTTCGAATGGTTTCCGAGCTGAATTCAGTTCCGGTGTATTATATATAAACAATATTGCAAGTATTCGACGTAATGAAGCTGGTCGCTTTCATGTAGAAGGCTGTGCATGTGAAGATTATTACAAAATAAGGGATATCGTTTATGCACAATTTGCAGTTGTGTAGCCTGAAATTACTCATAGTTATTGATCTCATGTTGCCTTTTTTGTAGGGTCTGAAACGAACAGACAGTGTTGAAATTGAGATAACGAGATACTTTTCATTCAGATAGTTAGCGAAATAAATAATGAAGCTGGTAATTTGGTGAAGAGTTTATAAAAGAGCTATGAAAATATTTTAAAGGTTTATAATTGACTGAGATATACATTACATTTTTCGATAGTGAATTTTCAAAGCGCTAAAATGGTTCTTATGTCGTTTAAATATGTGACATAATTCATCTTCGATTATGATGAGAACGTTTATTAAGTTGAAAAAAGTGCTGATGTATTGAAATAACATACAAAAAAGTTATATTCATTAATGTTTAAATTAGATTGCTGAAAATGTCATTTAACTGAATTTCTGTTCCGGTCAGCAAATAGACATACAATTATTTAGCCAAATCATTTTGGTTCAATAACGATTTATTCATCATTAGATGTAAATGCGAGGTGATATTTTGACAAATAAAGCATTCATGGAAAGGAAAGATCTTTATATTCTCATTCTCTTGATGAAGGTAGAATCTAAGAATAAATGAAATCTACCGGTATTTCAGTGGCAATGACTTTATAACATCAAAATTTTCGGACTGAAGAATGGGTGAAATTAATTTTCTTTTTTTCAGCATTTTTTTATTTTCAGTAGGAAGTACAGGAAAAATGAGCAAAACTTCTCAATTTTTTTTTCATGTTGGTTAAATAATAAGCAAATATTTGATTATGTACATGCAAATTTTTTAATTTGGTTTATATATACATATGCATATGTATATTATCTTGTGAATTAAAAGTCTCCAGCATATGGTGAATCTCTCTGATTTGTTAAAATGGTTGTTTTGTTTGATTGTTATAAATTTCTAATTGTTAGTTTTTTTTTCCCCCCTTTTTTCTGTTTTTTAACTTACTTCTGCAGATTTTATTTGAACTGTAAAGTTTGATGACTGCTGATGTCATTTGATGTTGGAAAGTAAATTGATTGTTGAATAAAACATTTTGGTTTAATTAATTGAAGCTTAACTTTCTCATTTTTATAATTGCACGGAAAACATATGACATTTCCTAAATATTTCTGTATTTAAAATAAAAAGATAGAAAAGTTAAAGGTTATTGTTGCCAGTGATATGATAGGATCGACAGTTAGTCTGTTATGTTATTCAAGTTTTCTTCAACAACAGTACGAAGAATGTGATGAATGGGATTATTGCTTTTTCCTGGAAGATTATTCGATGCTCAATCCAGCCGCTACAGAAAATCATACACGAAGTTGTGAACGACGGGGTTATTGTAAGGTAATTAGTTAAAATTATAAAATATAATGTATAATCATTAAACGGAAAAATGAAGTATGAGAAAAAGATGGAATACATAACTGCAAGAGATATATGCGTATATATAAAAAAAAATATATAAA